CTCTGGCCTCCCCTGGCGATGAAGTGCATGGGTCTCCCTAGAGGGAGAAGCAGTTTTTACCCCTACACACGAGGCCGCTACTGGGGGATGCGGAGTCCTGGGGAGAGGGCCCGTGCTCATTCTCAAAGTCCCGGAACCGGCCCGCTCCCCTCCATCTCTGTGTACCCCGGGATCACATCACCCACACAGATGCCACCTCCAAGACTGGCTGAGCCCCTGGTTCCCAGCCCTCCTCTTCTTCCAGATCCGGGAGCTGGTCCCCGAGTCCCAGGCCTATATGGACCTCCTGGCGTTTGAGAGGAAACTGGATCAGACCATCATGCGGAAGCGGGTGGACATCCAGGAGGCTCTGAAGAGGCCCATGAAGGTGCCTTGGTTTGGGGGTGGGAGGAGGGCTTGATGTCCTGTTCCCAGAATGGAGAGGCGGGGTTGCCCTGGGGGTGGGCACACGGTGTTTGCTTTGTGGAACACTCTTTATTTCTGCAGCAAAAGCGGAAGCTGCGCCTTTATATCTCCAACACTTTTAACCCTGCGAAGCCAGACGCCGAGGATTCGGATGGCAGCATCGCCTCCTGGGAGCTGCGGGTAGAGGGGAAGCTCCTGGATGACGTACGTCCTGGCCCAGGTCTCTCCAGGTGTCCTGGGGTGGGTATGGGGCTGGGCTTAGGACAGAGCTAGATGTTTTTGGTTTTTAAAAATATATTTTTTATTGATTTCAGAGAGAGGAAGGGAGAGGGAGAGAGAAACATAGAAACATCAATGATGAGTCATTGATCAGCTGCCTCCTGCACGCCCCCTTCTGGGGATCAAGCCTGCAATCCGGGCCTGTGCCCTGAGCAGGAATCGAACCACAATCCCCCAGATCCTAGGTCGACGCTCAGCCGCTGAGCCACGCCGACCGGGCAGAACTAGATGTTTGCGCTGAGGATTAGGGAGTCAGCCCTGCTCAGGGGTGGGTGACCTAGAGAGACATCCGGGGTGCAGAGGCCTGCTTCTAACCATGCTGCCCTACCCAACCAGCCCCACCCCCTCCCAACTCACTCTGCCCCCACAGCCCCGGTTCTGCCCCCACGGTCCGTTCTTCCCCCACAGCCCAGCAAGCAGAAGCGAAAGTTCTCTTCCTTCTTCAAGAGTTTGGTCATTGAGCTGGACAAAGACCTCTATGGGCCTGACAACCACCTAGTTGAGGTAAGACCCAGACCCCACTTGCCCGAGCACGTCCACCCTTCCACAGGCCCCAGGCCCCCAGTCCCCTCAGCTGCACAGATTTGCACCAGGGACCACCCTAGAGTCTGAGGCCCCACCAGCCCAGAGGGGCCTGTGGTGTGACCTGGTGCTTTTCCCCTGGACAGTGGCACCGGACACCCACCACCCAGGAGACGGATGGGTTCCAGGTGAAAAGGCCGGGGGACCTGAGTGTGCGCTGCACGCTGCTCCTCATGCTGGACTACCAGGTCCGTGCCAGTCCCCACCTGCAGACCCCATGAGGCCCCGGCCCCCACGCCCTTCCTCCTGGACAGGGTGGGCGAGAGACCCATCCTCACCACCACCCTTCTCCAGAAGCACGTTTCCAAGGAGCCCAGTCACCATGTGCCCCCCCGTCCGCCTTCCACTCCAGTCCCAAGCTGCCTGGCCCTGAGCTCTTCCCACTCCCTGATTTTCATGGTCACCTCTTCCCAGCCTCCCCAGTTCAAACTGGATCCCCGCCTGGCCCGGCTGCTGGGCTTGCACACACAGAGCCGCTCGGCCATTGTCCAGGCCCTGTGGCAGTATGTGAAGACCAACCGGCTGCAGGACTCACATGACAAGGAGTATATCAACGGGGACAAGTATTTCCAGCAGGTACCCTGACCCCAGGCACGTGGGGAGCAGGCAGAGTCACTGGTAGGGGAAGCGCCTCTACTAAGGTACCACCACCCTATCTGCTGGCTCCCCAAGTGCCAGAACCTACAGTCACTGTCTCGGAGCCAGAGACCTGGGCCCTAGTCCGGGCTCTGCCGTGGCATAGCTCAGTGCTGCATTTGAACCACCCCAGGCCAGGGAGATCTGGGACCCTGCAAAGCTCTCGGGAATGTAATATTCTCGGCACCTGGAGCTGGATCCCTGCATTCTAGCCCTGGGCCCCGACTCCGGGTGTTATGTGGCCATTCTGAGCCTTGTTGCTTATCTGTCCCATGTAACCCACTGGGCAGTTAGAAAAATCAAATCACTACGAAAGGGATTTGACAAAATTTCTACCAAAGTAGAGAATATTATTAATAAATTTTAAATAAATACAGCAGATAGACCTGAGGAGTTAGGAGAACAGTTGGTGTTTATTGAGCACGTACTGTGTGCCAGGCAGGCATGTTCCAAGCACTGTGTGTGCACTGATTAACTGAATGCTCACCGCAGCCCTGAGAGAGGGGCACTGCTATTAGCCCCATTATAGAGATGAAGAAACAGAGGCCTGAGTTGTTACCTAACTTGCTCAGGCTGCATAGTAAGTGGTGCGAGCAGGATTTGTACCTAGGCAGGCTGACCCAGGGCCCATTCTCAACCATCCCACTGCACCACACCAGCCTGCAGGACCCTGAGTCCCAGCCCCCTGAACACTGAGGAGTCAGACTTGCTCCTGGCTTCCTGTGGACTTTCCAGAATGGAAGGGTCTAGAACTGTGAACAAAAGAGTGACCTTCCTGCCCTCTCCCCCCCCTTCAGATTTTTGATTGTCCCCGGCTGAAGTTTTCTGAGATTCCCCAGCGCCTCACAGCTCTGCTGTTGCCCCCTGACCCAATTGTCATCAACCACGTCATCAGGTGAGATCCCGGCTTGCTCTTCAAACTTGGGATTCCTTGGGTTCTGCCCTCCCTG